CCCCCCCCCCCCCCCCCCCCCCCCCCCCCCCCGCCCGCCCCCGCGGACGGTGTTGTGGATGAGGATGAAGCAGTAGATGAAATCAATGCAAGATGCAGCCAGCGCTCAGCCTTGCTGGGAGAGTTGCGTGGCTGTGGGTCGACCGCTTTCCGCACTGTGGGGAACCGGCTGCTGGTCTGGCTGTTCCGTCGCTGTCATTGGCCGCTGCGGTGGAAAGTCCTCGCAAGGCTGTCGGTGACAAACTGGTCGTGATTGCGCTGGTTTGGGGGAAAATGCCGAATCTATAATGGCTAAATACATATGTGGCAGAAATGGGATAAAAATCTCGGAAGGGTTTCCGTCTTTGCTTGCATCCTTCTGTCCACCAAATATTTACACGTTTGTGCCATCGCGACCATGGCTATTACCGGCTGTATAGAAATGGCCTTGGCGAGGGGTTCGGTCTGACTGACATTGGGGGGCACATACATACGTCGTTTTCATGTGCTTGCGCCCGGTTGAGCAACCAAGGCAGTTTTCCAATTGTTCGGCACATGCCCATGTAGTGACAGATGGGTAATTATATTCAACTATTTCAGCGATGACTTAAATTAGACATGTGGGTAGTTTGCTACCACATTACACAGCATACATTCACTTATAACTCGTCCTTCAAAATATAAATGACAAATGCCATAGGTCGAGACGGAGAATATCAGGACATGGCTCTACCAGAATTACAAACCCCTCGTCTCAACCTCCGTCCCTTGGCAGAGCATAACCGGGACGACATCATAAACCTCGATTCAGACCCTCAAGTTACAAAATATGTTCACAGTGGCCGCCCTCTAACCCGAGAGGAAGCTATCCAAGACCACCAAGAGCGTCTCTCGGCGTGCACACAAGTCCCGGGCCTCGGCTACTGGGCAAGTTACCTTGGTGACGCCTTTATCGGGTGGACAGCTCTCTCGCCCATACAATCCAACAGCGGGACATTTCATACGCAAAAGGCAGAGCTGGGATACCGAATCTCACCTCGCTTTTGGCGACGGGGGTATGCAAAGGAAATGGCTCGCGAGTTATTGAGGTATGGATTCGAAGAACTGGGTTTGGTAGAGGTTGTTGGGCAGACGATGGCTGTCAACGAGGCATCAAGAGCGACCATGAAGGCCTGTGGGATGCAGCATGTGCGTACTTTGTACGTTGAGTTTGAGGATCCTATTCCTGGGTCGGAGGATGGTGAAGTTGAATACGCAATTACAAGAGAAGAATGGCTGAAGCTTGAGTTGCATTCAAAGTAGCGAGACCATTGTCTATAAGATATGCCTTGGAATCAGGGTGATTCGTACGCTTGAACCGTGTTTCTCCTCTCTCTGAAATTTTGCATCTTCACAAATACGGCTATTCTTTCCAATCATGATAGAACGCATGCAGTGAGGCGTTCGACGTAAAAACACTGTATTCTCCCAACGTCGTGTGTACCTTGGATAATAAGTCTTGAAGTCGTCGCAGCAAAGATGCAAACACACACACACACACACACACACACACACACACACACACACACACACACACACACACACACACACACACACACACACACACACCTCCGCCTCACTACATTTCCACCATATCTACACCCCAATTAACCCAAAGAGCCATGCCATTACGCGACAATTGACAAATCGGATTTTACATAATGCAGTGCAGATCAGACACCGCACGGTATAGGCGAAAAATGAAAAAATGCGGAGGTGGCAGTGAACCGCATCTCGAATCTGCACGTTTCCCCCTGGCGCTTCGCTTGGCCCCCTATTTTAGTATTCTTCCCCCCCACGATTTTCCAGTCCTCCCGTATCTGTATCTGCAGCTACGGCCACATCTGCATCTGTGCATACGACACGCATGGATGTACGTAGATGATGATGAAATGTAAATGATGATATCATAGTCTGAACATTTGTAATCATGACTTTGACTCAGTCATGATGGACAACGGAGAAGAGGCAGGTTCATGATACGGTTGCTTGGTGGAACGAAACTTTCAAGACTGCTACGAAACACGGAACAAAATCGAATAAAACAAAGGGAATCCTCTCGTCAAGAGATGAATACTAATACTAGTTACTAATAAATACAAGTTCAAGGTGTGTGTTAGTAGGTTGTACAATTTGTGTGGGCACCATTTCAAGCAAACTGTCACCATCTTTGCACAGTCAAGCATCTTTTTTTTTTTTTCGAATCTTTCAATTTCTCTTCCTTCCACCAGAACATATTAACCTCCTAAAGAAAACCAAAATCTCTGCTACAACTCCAACACATGCGGAAAATGGAGATTGCAACAACTATCGAAGGGGAATCATCGCACTATTTTTAATAATAAAAAATTAGAAACCACAAGATGCATTAAAACAAAAGCCCAGAGAAGATTGCCCCTGAAAAAAATCACAGTCTTCCCCTCCCAAGACACCGCCCCATAGATCGCTATTCGTAGACTCGTAACCTCGTGGCTGCGCTGAGCAGTGAACTCTTTTGTCCCTTGGCTACCCGACGTAGAAACCACGTCTCTACTCCGTCACGATATTTACAAAAGGGCGATGACACCGGCGGCGAGGAGCAGCAGGGCGCTGGCACTGGTGGTGGCAGCACCGCTGATGGTGGAAGGCTGGGGAGGCTGAGGAGCGCCAGTGGAGATGGACGCGACAGGAGGAAGAGGAGTCTTGGACTGGTTGGGCTGGTTGGGCACAGAGCTGGTAACGGTGCTGTTAAAGCCGGTGTAGGCGCTGGTGAATCCAGCACTGGTGGTGCGAGGAACAGTGGTGGTCTCCTCATCAACCTTGGTCACGGTGGTGGCGGGAGCCTTGGTAGTCGTGGGAGCAGCGGTGGTGGTGGTGGGAGCAGCAGTGGTTGTGGGGGCCTCGGTGGTGCTGGTGGTGGTAGGAGCAGCGCTGGTGGTGACAACAGTCGTGCTGGTGGTTGAGGTGCTGGTGCTGGTGCTGGTGCTGGAAGTGCTGGTCGAAGTAGGAGTGGCGGACTCGAGGCCGCCGGCTACACTATAAGCAGCGGCGCAAGCAGCGAGATCCATGTTATCCGGGCAGCACCAGGTCTTGAGAGCGTGGTCGTGAGTGCAGTAGTAGCCCTCGTCGCAAGAGTCTGTCAAGCTCGTTAGCCATCATATCACGCGTACATTGTTGATTACACGTTAAACACATACTGCCAGAGCCATCAGCGCAGCAGCTCTGCTTGACGGATGGGTTGTAGCAGTGAGTCTCCTTGCCGCTGGAGGCGCACTCGGTGTACTCGGAGCCGCAGGCTTCGGCACAGGTGTCGCCATCGTGGCACTGAGACAGCTCGGGCTGGTATCCATTGGTGCTGCGGCGCGCAAGGCTCTGTCCAAGCACGGGCATCATGGCCAGGCGGTAGGGCTTGGGCTCGGCGCTGACGCTGGCGGCGCAGGCCAGGAGGGCAACAGAGGTGGCAGTTCGGAAGAGCATCTTGACTTGAGAAGGACAGTGGTGGCGATGGTTTCGCGCGTCGTGCGTGTTGGACGTGGGGATTGTGATTGTCTCGTGAGGATGGTTTGCGAAATGAGTGCAAAAGATGCGCGATAGCGGTGATGGCGTATGGCGGCGGCACGAAAGAAAAAGAGCGTAACGAGTATAATACTCTGAGTTGTTTCAACGAGCGAGCGTGAATAAAGCTGTAGGAGGCGAAACGAAGGCGGGAGAGAGAGAAGAAAAAGCTTTTCGTGATGTGGATGGGGAAGCGAGAGACAAAGCAGGGGCCCCTGGGAGCGGAGAAGCCAATTGCCGCCAAGGTCGCGGCCAGGTACCAAACACTGCTGGGAGCGGTCGGCGAGGTACTTTGGGCGAGTCTGTGCATGGAAGACCCCTGCAACTCCTTTTTCTCAACCTCTCATTTCCCCAAATGGCGCCGGACAGGACAGAGACGAAACGAGACGAAACTTGACGAGACGAGACGAGCGAGACGAGGCAAGGCGAGAGAAGATGCGAGGCGACGCGAATTTGCCTTGCGCCTGAATGCATTTTATTTTGATTTATATCCTGCTGCTGTGATATTATCTTCATCTGCTGTTCTCTCCATTATAGGAGTCAAGCTCGATGTCGACCTGCTTACCGCCCCACGACGGCTTCTCTCTTTTCTTCTCTTCCCTCTTCTCTTCTTCTACTCGCAGCTCAGCCCGGCCCCGGCGCCAATGGCCCAGAACATGCTAGCCTCAGACCTTGAAGCAACAACACGAGGCTAAATCAGCGCCTAGTCTGCAAGGTACCAGGCACAGGACGCAGCCACTCACGGCACCCTCAGCAAATGGGCGTCTTGGCTGCTCATTTCCCGCCTCCACTCTGGATGCGCCGCCGGCTTCAGACTGGCTCTGCGAGCGGATATTGGGCACATGGCGCGTGCGTTCTGGCTGGGCTGGGCTGGGCTGGCGGTGACGAAAGTGTCGCTTCTTTCAAATCAAAATGCTGCTTTTCCCTTTCGCTTCGTCAATGATCGCCTGCCATGAACCACCCTGGGGAGAGGAATTAAGCGACGTCGGCCATTTTGCGGAGTACCTGCTCTCACGGCTTACCGTCCTTGCCTGTGCCTGTGCCTGTACGAAGCAAGCAAGCCGATGATGGCAACGTTTGATTGCCGTTGGCGGCGTCTCATTTATCCGAAATGCATGCATTGTTGTTGGAATTGTCGCAATCCTCCACGTTTCACCAAACGCCAACTCATCAGGCACCCGCACCCGCACAACGACAAGAGTATAACAAGGTTGTTGCACATGGCTGGCGACAACAGCAAAATCTGCGGCCAGTAGCCGTGTTGGTGGCACACGCGCGCCTACAGCACATGAAAAAGCCATTTCCTGGGCCGCCCTCTCAGACCTGCACTCATCCGACATTACACATCTCGCTCTCATCATGCGTGTCCCCATCCAATTCACGTGTTGTCTCACCATGCCCAAACCCCGGTCCTACATGTTCGTATGCCTCATTGATGAAGCACGCCCAGGCCCGGCTACCAGGGAGGAACATGTTGGAAAGGTCGAGTAGAGAGGAAGGGCGATGCTCTGTGACGGACCATGTCAAGCTGTTCAATCGCCATCCCTTCTCGAAAGTGAGGCAGAAAGGGGATGGCAAAGCAAGAATACTTCTTGTTCCCGTCTCGTGGCATCACAACAACTTACCCGGCAAATGCAACGCAATCTCACCGACACGTGGTCACGGACCAAGCGATATTGGAATCAGGTACGAGTAAACGCAAAGATGTTCCATTTCGTCATGTGTGTTGCCTCGTACGAGCCATCCATCCAAAATAGCATTGCTCCAAGCGCTGCTTACTATTCATAGCAATCCCTCCCTCGAGGCCGATGAGATGCAGCCCGTGCAAACTTTAAACGATTTTAGTTTGAGCTACCTTGTCATGGCCGCCAATTGTAGTTGCCGAATGATGCATACTATATTCACATTCTGTTTGATTTGCTCCAGCGACTGGATGCATCACATTGCCACATCATCACACCCTCTTACTCAAATGCAGCAACAACCGGGCCTACTCCGTAAAGATTGTAGAGACCAAATCTCGTAACATTAACGCAGTCCCTTATTCCTACAGCCTTGTCACTTGGAACCCATGGTTCTAAGCCCTGAAAACATCATTACATCCCAACCAGTTTGCAAGCCGTAGCTAAAAATCCCATAGTAGACCTGCATTTTGACAATCCTCATCCGTAGGCGTGGCTCTCGTTCGGAGAGCCTCCCAAATTCTCACAATCATAAAGCACAATCCCTAAAACCGTACAGATTACCCACAAACCCCGTTATTCATCCTTTTTGCCGTAGCCTCGCCGCGGGGAACGGAGTTTCAGTAACGCGCTCGCTCCCGCCACTGCCGTGGTATCAGGCTGAGAGCGTTCCTACTCGCCCTCTTCGCCTCCCAGCTTGGCGATCCACTTGTTCATGTGAGAGTACTTCTCTTCAAATGTCCGTTGCAGTCTCTCGCCAGCCGCCCACATTGGGTCGCCTTTCTTCCAGTACGTGAAACAGTTGTCAAAGATCTGTCGCACGTCGACGAGGAATTCTTCTTCGGTCGTGTACTGTTTCTGGTCCATTCTCTGTTTGACCGTGCTGAGATCCATTGGCTTCTTGACCTTGTCAAAGTAATCTGGCACGCCGTCTTCAACAGGGTCGACGGGCTCTCGAAAGGGCCCAACAAGCCGAGTCCAAAAACCTGCAACGTTGTTATTCATATGCAAAACACTTTGGTGAATGTAGTAGACGGTGGTGCTTACCTGGCCCAGAGAGCATTCTGTTCAATAAGTCGGCACAGAAATCGAGCTTCTGATGGGTTGAGAATGTTTTGCCCTCCAACAAGGCTGCGCTCGAGCGCCTCTTCTGCGGTTTGGGAGGTGGGGAAGAGCCAGACTTGCGATATGCCTTGCGGGATGAGCCCGTGTCGACGGACACTCCGCTAGATCGTCTGCCCTTCTTCTTTGCCCCAAGGGTTTCCTCATCAGGTACCTCGTCAAGGTAATGAACATTCTTTCTAAGTGCTATTGGAACTGAGACACTGGCATTTGGTGGTTTGATGGAGCTGGGGGGTAGGGCAGAGACAACAGCCACAGAGGTAACTGCGGGCACCGCTGAAGCCACAGCAGGAGCTGGCGGAGCAATCGTCTCGAACGAGCTCATTGTGACTACAAGCTCACTGAGGACCTCTTGTGGCAGTGACTTTGCAAATTCGGCTCGAGCATCTGAAGACCTCATGTACTCGGCAGCCCAAGACAGCAGGAGAACTCTGATGGATGAACCTTCGGGAGTATCTCGCCACACCTGGATGAGAAGAGGCGTTGCCGGAATTCGGCCCGTGGTTCGTCGGCAGTCCACCATTGCCTCGAGTGTATGCTCACATAGCCCCTTGACGGCAAGTTTATGGCCCAGATTCCAAAGGCCGACCAGAGATTCGTAGGAGGTGACGTTGGTGCTCTCGTCTGTAATCTTTCCGGTGTAGAGAAAATTTTGTACGAGCCCAAACACTGCGGGTGTCGCATCTGGGAGCTTCACTATATGCTCCAGAGCCTTCTCCGTGACATTATCTTCGAAATGCTTGCGATAGAACTCGGAGCGATCGCAGAGGAAGTCTTTCTGGAGGCCAAACGGCTGCTCATTGGGACCAACTAAGACGATTACGAAGATGGGATGCGGTTGGCTTCAATGAAAGGCGTCAGTGTCTGCGTAATCCAGGAGTTAATACGACGTGGTAACTTACGTCCACGAAAACGGCTTCCTAATCTTATTCTCGTTTGGAGTTCCGTTGGCAAGGCCGTTTGTGGTGCCATTGGCCGCAGCGCCATCTGAGGCAGCGACTTCTTTGGAGGGCGGATTGGACGACATTGCAAATCAATTACCTGATTGAATAGGTGGTCAGCAATTTTAACATGTATAATGAAAGTAATGGACCATAACAGTTCCAGAGCAGATGATCCGATGTGCATGTAACATGCAGATCGGCGTTTGGATGCAAACGGGCGTATCGGGATCTCATCAAGTATGGACACTGCTCATGCTACTGACAATGCCACTGGGCAAGTTTCATTCTCCGACCAAGACGATTTGAGAATTCCACAGCCTTGAGCAGCGATGAGCGTGTCCGTGGCGTCGTGAATAAAAGACGAGGCAAAGAAAAAGGATGACATTCGCAATGGACCAACTCACCTGCCACACACGGACTAAGAGATTGTTTCTTATGAGGATCGATTCCGTTGACTTCCACAGCACTCAATGCAAGGACCCTCGGCGACGCGCGTCTTCAATAATTCATGTCAAAAACAAGTCTCCGTTTGGCGATGCCTATCGTTTGTCAAGGATTTTTTTCCGAAGAGGCCAGCCTTGCTTTTTGGCTTTTTGGTTGATTGGGAAATTGGCAAGGTCGAGAAAGTGAGGCGACTTTCCACAGCGAAAGCATGAGCTGTGGCGCGTGTGGCTGGCTGCGTTTGGGATTATGTAAGGATTTTTGATGCGTTGGAGGGCGAGTGACTTACCCTGTAATTGATTTGGCTTTTGTTGCGGATTAATGTGTGAACCACTGAATTAGTTGGGATTTCTTTATCACTGATGCGATATTCTGGTTGAATGGAGCGTACATGGAATTCAGAAGGGCATTAGGTGGGCTGACTTTGGTCGCGGTGGAAGATTGTGAATTAACAATATCCTTGCGTATTATAAGATTGGATTTTGATACAACATCTGGCAAACCACGGTGAGTCCAGATACCCTTATTCTCCCCTGATGTGTACAGAACAAGTACGGAGTATTTGACGACGAATGAGAAGAAGTTGTTGCCCTTGGATTCCTTATTTTCCGATCCCTGCTTGGTGCCTTTGTAGACATCTTGATACCACGTGAATCGACAAATCAACGGCAAGCAGACCACAGTTCTGCCTAACAGACCCTCTCGAACTTTGCTTCCTAACAATTGCAACAATCACTACCTAGAACATTTGCGTGAATTGATCCTCTCGGAGAAGAAGAAAGTCTTCTAGATATGCCTCGTAACCGTTCGCATATCACAATCCACCACCAATGCGCAGCTTGCAGTCAACTCTTCAGACCAGGCGAAACCCTAGTCGCATGTACGCAGGAACCGTTTCGAGCAGATACATGTATTATGCAGTCCATCCGACAAAAGTGGTCTACAGAAACTCGTCACTCAGAATATATAAGAACTTACTCTTCACGAGCATATCGAAAGACTGCAAACAGCAGACGGAAAAGGATTTGCATTCAATGTTCTGCTGGCTCTCTGACTGTCCTTTGTGCTCAGGCACCAGACAGCCAGAACTTGTCCTACCAGATACAGCAAACGACAACTCTCTTCCTGTTGCTCCTCCGCGTGTACAAAACTTGTTCTGCAAGAACGCTCATTGCCACCAGTGCCAAACTGTTGCTGAAGAGACTGCATCCGTACACACGGTTTGCCTTGAGTTGTTCGAGCAGCATTGCGCCATTGGAGACGGCGAAAGCGGCCCTGAACAACAAAACGATGAAGAGTATAGACGCCTCTGGCTGGCGGGAATAAGACGGTATGCCTGGCGCGAGATGTAGACGCTCAGATTCCCCAGCAGCACCACTCTCGCTTTTCCTCCACCCGAGACTATTAGCCAGCTATGCGGCTTTCAAAGGATCTTCCTCCCTGAAGTCGCTCGACTGATCCAGAGCCACTCGAATTTTCACATCATCTGGAGATAATGCTCTGCCATCCAGCTAGCACAGGAACTTGGATCGGCAAAGGCGGAGGCAGCAGTCGTCTGCGACGTTCCCAATGTCCTGTCATGGTCCCGTGGCAGCCCTCTTGAGCTGATGCAAGACGAAAGCCTTACCGGCTCTTTCATCAGATTTACAGTTGACCACCACGGTATCAGGAGCATAGACCGATTCTCTGATATTCCAGCCAGCACGGCCGGTGAGATACCGGCTTCCTCCTGCGTGTCTGCAGTAGAGCCGGTAGAAAAACTGTTGGATGATAAACTGGAATTTGAGGTACGCGACCGTCTTATTCAAAGCGAGCGCAGGAGCTCATATAAACAAACCTTTTCTAGCTCGGGATGGGTCGTCTTAGGGTCCCGGAGGAGCGACAAATCACCATCTGGAGTGACCCAAATCCTCTTCGTCTCATGCCTTTCTTGTCTTTTGAGGATCATGATGAATACCACCGTTTCGCAGCCATTAGGTTAGATCCAGAGCATTGCACTGGAATCTCTCTCTTCATAGCTTCACGTCCTGTGCACGAGATCCATGCTCATCCAAAAGGACACTCAACCCATCTAGAGAGGTTCGAGTATCTTCGCTCCATGTTTGACGATGAAATCGTCTGGATTTACATACCGCTTTCAGCCCAAGACCAGATCACTGCAATTGACATCAGGAGAAACGTAACAGAATATGAAAGACCACATCAATTTATACAAACGCATATTATTCGAATACGGCGACGGCTCGAAAAGAACAGTCGGACAATGCCGCCTGGGCTGGGATCG